ATTCTTCTTAAGGTGCCTTCTCCATTACTGACGGTTGGCTATAACTACAGCAAATTGCTCTCTATTTTGAGCTGTTCTTAGTATCGAATGTGTGTCCATACCTGTCCAGTCTCTTACATTCTTCAACCAAGAGCATCTTCTTCTTCCTGGACCTCTTCTTCCTTCCACTTTCCCTTCCATTATAAGTCGTAGGAAGTTGTATTTTTCTCCTCTGTAAATATGTCCTAGATAACTCGTTTTTCTGTTTTTTACAATATTTAGGAGTACTCTCTCAGTACCCATTCTTCTTAGCACCTCGTTATTGGTCACGTGCTCTGTCGTGGTCGAAAAACCCACATCTCAAAGGCTTCTATACGCCTCATACTTGTAATTACGAGAGTCCATGTTTCCACTCCGTATAGCAATATGGAATAAATAAACGTTTTTACACATTGGTATCGGATATCCAACGATAACGTAGAGTTTATCAGGAATTTTTTTCATTCGTTGAAATGCGGACCTAGCATATTCTATACGAGCACGTATTTCGACCTCGTGGTCAAAATCGTTTGTTATCCAGCAACTGAGATACTGGAATCTTTGTACTGGTTCTATATGTTTGTTATAGATACGAATATTAATGTCGACATTTGGTGCACGTGTAACAGTCATTACTTTTGTTTTATTTGTGTTTATATTTAGTCCCAAGCTATCTCCCTCTCTGGTTATGACATTCAAAAGTCGTTGTAAACCCTCAGCACTGTCCGCAATAATGACGGTGTCACCTTGTGTTGATTTTTATTCCTTCTTCAATATTTTCGAGGGCATTTTGAAAGATCTTTTCGGAATATATATTAAATAACAGTGGAGAAAGTACACAGCCCTGACGAACTCCTCTTTTTATTGGCAATTCTGCTGTCAGACGATTGTCAATTTTGATCGACGCCATTTGATCCCAATATAGTTTTTTTAATAAGTGCTACAGTGTTATGGTCTATACCATGTTGTGTTAGGGTTTCTATGAGTTCTGTGTGTTTTACTCGATCAAGAGCTTTTTTTGTAATCGATAAAACAGAGAAACACGTCTTTTCGCTGATCTCGGCATTTTTGTAGTAATATATGGAGCCCAAATCTTAATATTAAGAAATCTAAATTCATGGTTGTCAGTCGTGCAAATTTAGCTCCCGGGGCACTAATGGCAGGAAGCGAAGAGATCTAGAGAGTCGACAGATTCACTTACCTCGGAACTACCCTCAACTCACAATGGGACTAGGCTCAAAAGATTAGATCCAGAATTAAAATGGCACGGTCCACATTTATCAAGTTGAGATCCTTGCTGTGCTGCAGTGATCTCAATTTGGAAACAAAGATGCGGATAGTGAGGTGCTACATTCTTTCAGTGTTACTATATGGAGTTGAAGCCTGGACACTGACGCAAGTCACAGAAAAGCGGATTGAAGACTTCGAGATGTGGATCTACAGAAGGATACTAACAATATTGTATGTGGACCATGTTACCAACATTGAGGTCCTACAGCACATGAGAAAAGAAAAAGATGTGCTTAATTTAGTGAAACAACGTAAAATTTAGTACCTCGGGCCCGTGATGCAGAAAGAAGGAAAGTATCGAATTCTTCAACTCAACAGGACCGGGACGCCGTCGTATCTCGTGGTTAAAAAACCTCCGACAAAGGTTTGAGATGACCTCTGCGGAGCTGTTTTGCAGAGCAGTCCACAAAACCATGACAGCCTTGATGATCGCCAACATTCGGACCGAATAAGGCACTGAAGAAGAAGAAGAAGAAGAAATACAAAAAACTGAAACCAGAAATGTGGAGTGGAGTTTTTATGGGAGTAAAAATTAATGACCACTATCTATAGCCTTTTGTTTGTCTGATGATCAAATAATTTTAGGAGAAGACAAAGATAACATTGTATACATGATAAAAAAACTAAAAGAAGAATTTTGAAGATGGAGTATGGAGATTAATTATGATAAAATGCAATATATGGTTATTGGAAACACCTCAGAAGACTTAAAAGTAAATTACAACTCAATGAAACACACAAATAAAAATAAATACTTGGGGGTAACATTAACAAATACAGGTTCAGATGAAACTGATAAAATAAATAATAAATAAAGGAAAGACAAATAAATAAACACCACATTGTTAAAACTATAGTGGAAAGCTGTTCCCTTTATGACTCAGAGATCTGGGTAACAAATAAAAGAATGGAAAACCAAATAAATGTATTGGAAATGTTGTTTTGGAGAAGAAACTGCAGAATAACACTAATGGACAAAGTGACAAATTAACGAACAAGAGAACAAATTAACATTAAGTAGACACAATGATAATGCAAAGGATGACCGAGACAAGAATACAGCTAATGACTTGGAAATGGAAATAAAAGGAGGAAAAGAGGGCGTCCTAGATTACAGTGGAATGGATAAATAAAAAAAGCAATGGAAAAAGAGACCTTACTGAAGAAGATATATATGATAAGAAGAAATATAGTAAGAATGTATCAAGTTTCTGTTTATTGACAACATAACTATTAGAGCCTTTAGTCATTCATTTCACATTCTGTTTTTTAAAAGGTTTTTATGTACTGAAATGTCAAAAATAATGTTTTGATTCTGTTATAGTCATTGGAATTGTCCTAATAATTTGCAACCATTTTTATAGCATTCACAAACATTCTTGGTTAAAAGAATGTAGTAAATTCATAGCAACAATATTGTTAATTTAAATACAGTGTCAAGTACTTTGCTGTGGTTCCCCATATAATGTAGTTGATTATTAAATGTAGTTACATTTGAACACTATCTTGATTTCCTGATTATAGTTGGTGAATGTTGAAGAATATTAACATGGATTATTATTTCATAGAATACTGTCAATCAAAAACAAGAATTCTTGATATTCTAACGCTCTTCTAAAAATTTAAAGCTTCATCTAAAGTAAGTAAGTTTTCCATGATGTTCAGACAGTGAATGTTACTAAAAGTTTTCAGTCAGTGCAAAGGACCATAATTTATGTTGATTTGTTAAAGATAAGACATTTTTTTTATGTGAATTTGGATCCCACCAAGACAACATATTAATAGTCTATGTATGTTTTTAAACCTAGTGCCTTCTTACCTTTAATTCTAAAAAAACTCAAAAAATCGTCTTGTATGCCCACATGAAGGTCTTATCACATTTTCTTGACAGAAAATCTGAATTATTCATATGTGGCAAAAATTCTTCTCTACAAACTTTTAGCATGCTATGTAAAATATAATATCGAATACTTTTGTATCCTTGTATATCAAGTATATTGGGATTGTATGAATTGAATTTTACTTCAAGATATCTATAAGATCGATAAGACAAATAATGAAAGTGATTATGTGATTGATATTTTTGCTGCAACTGTAGAACCCAACAAAGAGCTTCTATAGTTTAACACTTTGCCTGCTGTCATAGTCTATGTGATAGAGACAAAAATTTCTCTGCACGCCAGCGAGGTCTATTTGACCAAGAATTTTAATGTAACTGTGGTGCTGTCTAGGTAACTATGACGTGAACGGAACATATTACAAAATCCTCTATGGAAGGCAATGTGTTAAGATAAATTCATTCTTCTACCAGACTTCATTCTTATGAAGACCTACCAGACTTCATTCTGATGACATCTGGTAGGTCTATAATACCCATTTTGTGTTATTTCATTAAATCAAGAATTTAACAACAATTCACATACATAAATCTTTTTATGGGTTTAATGGGGATAAAAATACACAACAATATTTTTGCATAATTTCATTTGTTAGTTTTTGCAGGCATTAAAATATATTTTGTATAAATGACTATAAAATTTATGTAAACAAAACTACAGGATGTGTTTTTTTCAGTTTTTCCTCATGATTTATAAGAGCATTACTAACGAGAGAATTTGACTGTCATGACTGGGTATCTTTTGAAAGGGAAATCACATGCTTTGATTTTTCTGAGTAGTATTCTCAAGTTAAAGTTGATTTCATGTAAAGAAACGAACTAACTCCTAAAGTCATCCTAGGAATGTATCTCAAATATATTGACAAAACCATTTTAAAACCTAAGTTTCCAGAGCTCTGAGATTGTTGGGTGTTATTTAAGAGATTTACAAGAAATTTTAACAAAATTTATACAGTCCAACTTTATTATTGTTCCCTTGTAAAATCTTCAAATATGCCTTATCAATCTAGAATCCATCCTATACATATTACATCCACAAAAATCAAACAAGTACAACGAAAAATGTTTGAGGTACCTAGCCTTTAAATCGAACATAGCTTGAATTAAGGAATATAATTATGACTTGAATTTTCTGCTCAATAAATGCCAACTCTCACTTACACCAGAAGAGATCATGACAATCTATTTTTTTAATAATGCATTCAATTATCTGTCTGTACTTTTTGATTGGGATTAATATAGTGGCTCCCGTTAGAATTTCTAGATAAATTCATGTGTTCTATTCATCCACCTCTCACACAAATGTAGAGAGCCAGTCATTTGGTGAATTTCATATCAGAATTAGAATTATTTACCAGTTATCATCATTTTAAAAGACTCAAGGGTCTACTTAAATTGGTAGAGAAATATATGATTGTATTTTATTACCTTTTAATTATATGGCATTTTATTGTTGTTTTATACTTTGTTTTTATTTTAGGTAGTTTAAATTACTATGTAGGTGTTAATACTATTAGCATGTTTTATTAATGGTTTTACCTTCTTTTTATATGACATGCTATGTAAGTAGGTATATTCATTTTGTGTAAAAAAATATATATATTTTTTAATTGTGACCACAAAATCAGTGGCTAAGAGCATGAATAAAAATAGGTCTAAATGGTTCAACCCTCTACCCCTCAGAAGGCAGATGATCAGGACAATGCACAATTTATAATTGAACATTTATTGTCAATAAATAAACATGTACTCTTTACTATAATACTTTAAAAAAACCAAGTTAAGAATCACTTACCTACAGAATCCTTGATCACTTTTGCATATTCCTCAAAATAGGACATGTTGATGTCATAATACCATAAAAACAATTTAAATAAAAGCGCCAAGGGAAATAAATACTAAATCATGTTTACTGGATAATTATCTTCCACCACAGTTGATATGAATTAATGTCTATAAGGTAACCATTTATATGATTATCATTATTAATATATCTAAACTGTGTATCACTATGTAGTGTAATTACTGTTATAATAACTTCGTGCAACGGTAATTTCGATAAATTCTATCCATCAATTCACCTTAATCCAAATATATATACATCATAACCTTAACATCTGTCATGAACGTCATACCAATCATACGAAAAAAACAAACAGAGGTGGGGAAACTGGAGTGGTATTTTGAGGAATTTAATAAGACATGATTTGAAAGTATTTTATAACATTTTTAACACAAAAAATTTGAAAAAGTTACACACTTACAGGTTTTATTATATTTTATAAACATTGAAAAATGTTTATGAGCACGCTTTAAAAATATACGTTTATTACACAGTGTTTCAAAAATAAATAAAGATAAAAATATGTAAATTTTAAATAAATTTAAAAAATACAGTTAAAGGGATTTAAAAAAATGTTTTAATTTAAATTAAATTTAAATCAAATGACAGCCAACATAAATGTAGGAAAGTACGTTTGACACGATTTTTCTTACTTTTGTTTTCAGATATGAATATACCTCCCATATGTTAGTTTTTGAGTCACAAATTATATGTAAGTATGGAATATATTATTTTGAATACAGAAAGAGGTAAGTACTTACTTTAAAATTCGAAGATGCAACCAACAAACTCCAATCAATGGACTGCATCAAAAGATAAGCAGTACCTATACTTCATTTGTTGAATTCATTTGTTGAATATTTTGAGAATACCAAATTGGGTTTCAATTTGATCATAATTTACTTGATTTAATTCAAAAGGTATACCCTGTTTATATGCTACATATTTAACTGAAACCCTGTTCAATGGAATGTGACTAAAAAATCAGATATCTTTAACATTAATTTTCGAAAATCAAAGTTTCTTACATATTCTCGTTTTCATTTGCGAACTGCAAACAATTAAGTACGTATTTAAGACGAGTTCATTGTCAAATGGCAAACTTCAAGCAAGCAATTTAATTGAACCCAGCCTTTGAGAGACTTGTTCCCCGTGAAATGAGGTTCAGGTGTAACAATTCATTGGAGCGAGGTGTATTAACTCGCGTATAAACAGAAGTCACTCCACCTAGCTCCAATGCTCTAGACCATCCCTTTCCCCCCATAACACTCTAATGCGCGATAGGGGCTCAATTATTAGCCAAATTGTCTTCATGTGGAGTCCTGGGTAATATAACTCAAACATGGTTCCCTAACCGATTCAAATTCAGGCTAGCGTTAACCTCAATTCAGGCCTTGAGCGTTCTCTCTGAGCTGCGCCCAATTCGGAGACTTGGTGCTGAAGGGGTTGAGCTCTACCTACCCAGGTTTTGTAGGTTTTGTTAATTTTTTAGGTGACTTTCAATTTTTGGCAATGTATTGTTTAAAAGATTTAAACAGTTTACAAAGGAAATTGTTGATCAATATCAATGCGGATTTACTGTTGGTAAGTCAACTACATATCAAATTTAAGCACATAGGCAGATTCTAAAAAAGTCACTTGAGTATAACATAGATACAGACCATCTCTTCGTCGACTTCAAAACAGCCTATGACAGTGTGAAAATAACTACATTATATAATTTAATGATAGACTTTGGGATCCCACCTAAGTTAGTTAAATTGACCCAACTAACGATGCAAAACGTAAGCTCATGCGTTAGAATTGAAGAAAAAAACTCTACGTTCTTAGACATTAATAATGGTCTACGACAGGGGGACGCGCTGGCGTATCTCCTCTTTCATATTGCCCTGGAACAGGCAATCAGACAATTAAATATTAGAATGAATGGAACTATTTTTAATAGATCCACGCAAATCCTCACATTCGCTGACGATATAGTTATAGTGGGTAGTAGTATTAGATATATGGAGCTATACTATAATATGTGGCGACTTTAATGCAAAAGTTGTCAACACTACACAAAATGACGACTTAAAGAATGTACTGGGAAAGTTTGGCATAGGGCAGAGAAACGAAAGAGGAGACCGTTTAATCGAATTTGCTATCACAAACAACTACTCCATCATGAATACTCGATTTAAACACCATGTACGTCGACTTTATACCTGGAAAAGTCCTGAAGATAGATTTAGAAATCAAATAGATTACGTCCTCACCAATATTCGCTGGAGATCGTCCATTCAAACAGTCAGATCATATCCAGGGTGTAGCGTTTACGCTAATAATTACCAATAATACAATTTAAAATTGTATTAATAGAAACCCCTCACGAAATTTCTTATGACCCGCCAGCGGTCGATTCAAACCACCTATACGCGCAGGTTTCGCTTTTTGGAAGGCTGGAAGGAGTTTGTGCCGAAGCCAACCGGCAGTTTTGGTCAAGAAACTCACGCAGCACGTCAGCTAATTTAAAGTGACGGAATTGGAACAGAAAAATAATCTGGGACGAATAAAATAATATCTAATTCGTTAATAATATCTCAGTAATACTAATAATAAGAAGTAAATTTTAAAAATCAAGATTTTCTAATGTAAGAGTTCCACATAATAAGGATATTTTTTTTTTGGCGTGTTGCAAGTTCCAGTAAGTACATTATTTTATACGTATTATCTTTTATTATACAATAAAATCTATCCTTGCAGTTTAATATTTCTTTAGAGACTTATTTTTGAGTTCCGAAATAATTTAACTATAAAATTTCCTTGATTTACTTGCAAAGAACAGAAGGTCATTTTTTATATAGTCAAACTTAAATTCCACGTCGTTATCATTAAGTTTTTTTGGTTCAATTTTTATCTAACTTTTTTGGTGGAATATAATGGGTCCTACAATTATTGGACAGCTATTATATTCTGCGCATGTTCATTTCCTATCATGCTGGGAAATAACTTCGGGAATTTTGACATGACAAATATATCTAACCTGATGTTTGATGTTTTGTTTTGGTAAAGTGAATCCATGCTGCTACAGCTATTGAATTACATTTATTAAATTAATTAATCCTTTTAGATTCCGTCACTGAAAATATTTATCACTTAAAAATATTCATCTAAGAATATTAACTTGAAAATATTCCCTCAAGGATGTTAGTTATTCACTTCTTTAAATAGTTGCCGTGGATTGTGGATGTTGCTGTCACCCAGAGACCAGTGACTGGTTTTGTGCCTAGGACTTATCTTACAACCATGAATTAGTTTTGTTTTGCCCAGAGGAGTTTTCCTAGGGACTTATTGTTGCCAAGATAAGTTGTTTTAACTATTTGGTTTTTGTGTTACTTTCTATTTAAATCGTGTACACTTTTTAAATATGACTAGGAGATTACAATTTTGATAATATACATTTTTTTGACATAATCTAATTCTAAAATATTGGGGATGAGGGAAAATACCTTTCATGTGTTATTAGGTTTTTTTTTTGTTTAACTGGGATTTCAAGAGTAATTGACCAAACTCACTTTTTTTGATATATTTTTTGTAATACAATGCTTTTAATAATAATAATAATAATAAATTTTGATGTCATAATATTAAATTTTGGGAAGGGATATAAATTTCATGTGTTTTTTAAAATAAATTATAAGAAGTATTGAAAACTCAATTTTTTGTATGTAGTATCTTTAATATATCTGTAATAGATTGATCACTTTTTGATACCTTTATAATAATGTAATTTGGATCTCATTGTAGTAGAATGAGTTAAATTTAAATGACTACCTTTTGTATTAAGACTTTGGCTACCCTAACGGACTATTCTTGTTAATACTAATGTTTACATTTTATTTGGCCAGTGGTAGTGACTATTTGCTTGTGGAGGGGCTATTAGGTCCCATTTTATCTTTATACCCACAACCACTGTTATTTGGCTTTGCATTATATGTAAATTGTTTATACACATATACCTATATACATTTGTTTATAAATATATTTATTGTTGCTATTTTGAGTTTTATTTCAGTTCTACTAACCAGTATATAACATAGCAAAACAAGATTATTATTTAGTATTTTTTGTATTTCAGAGTATTATCTCCAGATTCATTTGTTACTTCAAAATCTCAACTATCGTTGAGTTGGCGCCCTTCTTTTCTCTTCTTATTGTTCTCTTTCTATAAATTTATTTCCAGTGACTTTCTTCAGTTGTATCACGTTTGATATTACCAGGTCTCATTTCTTTCTTGTCTCATTAGCTCATTATCTCTTGTTATTGTTGTTTTTTATCTTTAAAGCCACAATCCAGTGCATTGAAGCTAGCCCGAACACTCACTTGAGATTTAGTGTCTCTTTGGCCATTTAAATTTGTTCCTCTGAGCTTAGCCCGATTTTTAATATTTTCCTTCCTTCTCTTTCAGTTCTTCTGAACTTTGTCAATTCACATATTTTATTCGTTTCAATTGGCGCCCAACGTGGGGCTTCTTTTCCACTTCTGCCTTAAAAAAAATATATATGTATATATGTGTGTATATATATGTATATATATATATATGTGTATATATGTATATATATCTCCTTTAACTTTTGGTTTTGATCTTGGGTTGTTGTGGTTTTCACTGGTTGTGCTTTTAGATTTTCATTTTAACTTTTAGTTTTGTTTTTCAATTTTTTTTTGGACATTACCTTATATCTATATCTATATCTTAAATTGACTTGTTTTTGCTATATACTGTGTAGACTGAATAAATTGCTTTGTTTTTGATTGATTAAATAACAATTTAAATTAATAATAAATTAATTAAAATTTTAAATAACTAAAGTTAACTATTTCACATATTTTTACAAGTCCGGAGTAGCCAATAAGTTGAGTCACTACCTCGAAATAACAGTTTTTGAAATTTTAGGTTCCTTAGGGTGTTGTAGCAGTATATTTCAGTGGATTTCATAACTGGACCAAAACAGTTAACATTACTGGTATAGGTATCCCTTCAGAATATTAATTTGAGGACAGAGAGTAAGTTAAACTTTACCTACTTTTACTCATTCTCTCGTATATTTCTCAGTTTTGTAATATGTCTGCGTTCAAGGTAGAGCATCTGTTAGCTCCTGAATTAGAGTATGAGTTGAGAGTCTGTCATCTAACCAGTCCCTTGTTAAAAAAATGTTTTATGATGTACAGAATGTACCAGGTAAATTTCCTGATTTTAAAGTTGAACATGGTGTTTTGTATAAACATGTT